TGCCCAAATGGTGGGTGCCTTCACTTGTTCAACTCGGGCCGCGCCTGGTAAACGCGCTGGACCAACGCGCGGGGGCTAGTCAGGCGTTATTCAGTTTAGGCACTCCCATAATAAATGTCGCACCTGGGCGTAGTAGCACACCTAGTTTCAGGCTCACGCCGCGCCAGTCACCTGCGCCTGATCCCGCCTCCGTTCTTCGTGATTTGGTCATGGCACCGGGTGCAGGTGCGGGTGAGGGCGGAGCGAGTGCGGTAGATACAGCGCATGTCAACTATCGCTTGAAAATAATCCATGCGCCAGTCGCCGTCCGTGCAGCACCCTCCTGTGGGGAACACGGTGGACTTCGTCGAACAACGACGGCCAAACTGTTGTTTATTAAAACCGTCGGATAAATTGGTTATCAAAAACTCTTTAATTACTGTTCATGCCCTTCCCAGTGTGAAAGATCACAAAGTTCACATTAAATACTTTTTTTTACGGACAGGTCGCCCATCTCGCAAAGGCTGGAGGGAGTGGCATGAAATAGAAAACACCCTAATGACAGGTGATTTATTTAGGGCCAGCAGAAAAGGAAAGTACGATGCTACGGAAAATAGATAAATAAAAACAATAACAGTGGCTTGGTGATTGTCTTTTTTCGTGTAAAACTGCTGTAATTCGGACTTCGGACAGGTAAAAAATCAAATTGTCTGTGAGATTTTCCATAGAATTGAAGTCCGGGCCGCTAGCAGGAATGGAAATGTCTCGCAGGCAGCAGACGTAGGGGGGTTGGCATTGGTCTAAAAAAATAGATTATAGTCATACCACCCTTGTGCAGGAGCATTGTCCTAACACATAACGGCAATCTGGGCTAACTTCCGAGGTTTATCCTAAAAATGAGACCGCGTCATTAAAGTAAATAGTTTTCCGGAATGAACATTTTTCTGATCCCCGTACGCCTGAGCAAATCTTTCTCTGCTCAGTTTCCTACTTATAATGGTGTTGTCATACACCATTTTTACTAACGAAGGCCGAATTCCTCCATCCTCTTTTTTTTTATAATAATGCGTTCAGATAGAACATTGACAAATATAATCCCCGTTAATCGTCTGCTGAGGCATAGGATAGCGTACAGCGAGTAAAATTGCCGTTCTGCTTGCTAGTGGATCGTTTTGGTCCATCTTGCTTTATTCTAGACCCTCGTCTGTTGTTTATAGTTACCCAGAGTGTGGCCTGCCTGCAGTTGAAAATATAAGCTAATGACTCCAGTGGCTGCCAGTTTCTGTGTGTGCTCAAAATTAACGAACAACATGAAGTGGTTTGACATTGAAGTCGCGCAGCGTTACACCAAAACGTGGCAACCTCTCGCCCGTACTCAATATATGTCTACATTTACGTCGTTAAAATTCTAAGAGTAGTTAAAAAAGGAATACGTTCAAAGAAGTTTAATATTGCGTTTTGGGGCAACAAAAAACATGAGTTTGCAAAACACACGGACGTTCTTCTCGTGATGACAACGGATTGACTCATGCAACCCGATCCACAAGGAAAGAATGCTTTGAGAAACATTCTCTAATAAGTTGTCTCTTTCAGAAGTGCTCTACTAGGCTGTTTCACAGATGCATTTCCAAAGTAAAGTTTAGGAAAAAATTAAGCATTTTGCTTACCCGATAGGTCTTGATAATTCATCTGCTCTAAATGCCAAACCGATATTTTCTTCTGAAACGTTGACCCTTTCCGTCATGGGTGCTTACTTTTAAAGAAATTCTTACTTCGATGTATTACAGGGTAGACAAGTACATACTAAAGTATTGCTTTGTCGGATACCTTTATGCCCATTTCTGTTTCTGAAGTTTAAATACTTCAACGCGATCTAAAATTCACCTTAACATATGCTTCAATCTCCCTTCTGGTAGGAAGCATTTTCTTGTCTTTGCGAATTTCCTTCCGTTAATAACCCGCCCAGGGAAGTGTTGTTCGAAGGGCACAGGGACTTTGCAGACATCCTGTGCTTTTATACATAATATGCATCAGTAGTTGCCAGCCTCGCAGATGGCAATAACGCGCGGCTGCGCTGTTTTCCCGATGGATCCTTTTAGACAGCGGCGGCAATCCCCCTGGCGGCGACGAAACCGAGGGAGATGCAGGCTGGATTGAGGGTGTGGCCATCCTCGGCGCAGTTCTGGTTGTCGTCCTCGTCACGGCTGTTAACGACTGGCAGAAGGAACGCCAGTTTCGCGGTCTTCAGGACAAAATCGAATCGGACCATCGTATCTCCGTGATGCGTGACAGTGAATTCTTTGAGTGCCTCGTTGGCGAAATTGTCGTTGGCGACATTTGTCTCGTCAAATACGGTACGCGCGGGCCTTTCTTTGCGCCTGCTTTCTACGTATGATTTTGCCACTTTTATACCACAAGTATCGTTTGGTCGGACTTGGAACCAGTCTACACCCCAACCCCTTAAATGCTTGCTGCTTATTTTCGTCGGATAGACGCCGGGATTTGCTTATGGACCTTGGAATTGCTACTTTCTACAATAGGTTCACTATATTCATTTTATTAACCTATAAGGATTCGGTCGAGGGTTGGCCCTGTACTGCGTAAATTATACATCTAAAGTTATATTCATTCGACTAATTTTATTCGCCGCAGCCTGGGCGCATAAGATAATGTGGTAACTTTTGAACGGGAATTGACTTCTATTTATATCATAGAAAATGTAATCATTATGACCTTTGGTTCTATGGGCAGGGTTTTATGCGTAAACGATTTGGGGCCTAGTAGGAAATGCATGGTTAAAAATGTGTGGTGAATATATGATGAAATTTTCGAGGTCAGGCTTGGTTCTGCTGGGAGCCTTCTCAAGGGCATTTTAAA